GGGTGTTTTGCATCATTATGTACAGCTGTTTTATTTGTGATTTCCCCAAAACATTATCAGTATTTTACTACATACAATGCATGTAATCAAAGTACAATGGATCAACTTCCAAGAGAAGAAGAACACACAAAAAAAAAAGAGCGACCAAAGAAAAAAAAAAAAAAAAAACAGGCGGTGACCACGAAGAAAACAAAATGGTTAAGGTACTGTATGTATAACACTATTTGTTTTTATATAAGGCTATTGATGGTGCCATCAACAGCGACGCCCTGCTGGCAACTGTGTGTTCTGAAAAGACAAATTTCTGCTAGAAGCACTGAGGTCTGGTGAGTTTTACTGCATGGTGGTGTGCATGTGTGAAGGTAAAGGTACTTATCTTGGGACTCTGATGAGATCAAGTACGATTTTTGACTTTTTTTTTTTTCCTAATGATGAGAATAAATCACGCTTTGGGAAGTCACAGTCTGCTGGACAATCTTTTAAAAAAATAGCTTTAATTAAGTCAAATTAAATAATATTCAAAGTTTCACGAGACTCTGTTGTATCCGCACAACAGGTGAGCGTTTCTTTTTTTTTTTTTTGTTCTTTTCTTTTTTACTAACACATTTAAATATTTATTCTTTTCTTAAGAACTAACCGTCACATAAAAGGGGAATAAATTAAAAGTATCGAATGAATCACAACCAGCAGAAACACCGATTTAGCACATCCCGGCGAGGACGTGCGCCTCCCACGTGCGAGCTACTGTTGACTCGTAAAACCGATACAACAATAGAAGAAACTAAAGAGATGTGTGGATAAGAAGAGAGGAAAAAACAGCTACTGAAACTCAATGAGACTGTCTTATACAGAACGTCCTGTATTCTGGTTTAAAACCCCTGATATTGTCCCAAAATAAGGCTGTGGGTTTTAGGCACACCAAGGTACAACTGAGCTGAGCAATATGTGCATTTATGTTTTTAATTTTTTAAAAAGACATGTAACTTTTCTAAATGTACTGGATGAATTAAAAATCACTTTCTTTTCTAATCACCTGGCTAGCCCAGGTCTTGCTATAGAGATTAGAGGTTTAAAAAAAAAAAAAGAAAAGAAAAGAAAGAAAAGAAAAAATAAGATGACAAATCATTTTTAGACGTCATTCGTTTTGCAGAGCATTTAGAGACAAAAAAACACAAGTGCATCATTGGCAAAAAACTGCTGGTGAGGGAAAAAGAAGTGCACACAAGTGTGCGTGTTTGTCTGAGTGTCCTGCGTTCAGTCTTCTTTTCAGTCGATAAGTGTGTTCGCCTGTGAGTGCAGTCGTTTAAGTGCGTGTGTGTGTGTGTGTGTGTGTGTGTGTGTGTGAGCAAGCGCGTTTTTAAAGAGGTAGCAGAGAAATGCAATCAGAGCAACAGAACGAATGAAACAAAAACCATCCATCTGTTACCAAACAGTAGAGAAGCTGATCTACCTGCTCTCCTCAACAACATTTTAAACCACAGACCTCCAACTGGGGCGTCTCAAAGTACTGAGAGTCAACAAAACCCGGCAGTAAAACACATTAAGTTCAATATTCAGTCTGTTTCAATTCATTCTTTTTTTTAAGCATACAGCTGATTTAAGTGTAAACTAATAATAAGCGTCTTAAAATCTTTTTTTTTCTTCCTCCAATCAGTAATTTCCTCCAAAGTGAAACTCACAATCTATTAAAATATTCTCCTTTTGTTTTTGTTTTTTTCACAGAAACACCAATGGACAGATAACATGTTGGTGCAATAAAACAACCGCATCGTTCAATATCAAACACTTTTAAGAGCTAAATAAACGCAATCAATCTGTGGATTTCCAAATGTGTCCGTCCAAAGCTTTTCCATTAACAGCCGATGGTGATAAATGAACCTCAGAGGAGCGTTAACGTCTCACATGCTGCGAGCTGAAGCGTGATTCATTAGCTGATATAATACAAGAGTGATCTCACTAAAGGCTTGGTGTGTCATTCACAGCATACTGTATATATATCTGAAGGCATGGTTGTTGTTGTTGTTTTTAATGAAATCTGAGTGAGAAGAGTGAATACAAAAAGAACCAGAGTTAGGTTTGAGTGAGAAGAAGGCAGAGTGTTGAGAGTGCTGGGCTGGAGCAGGTGTGTGAGACTTGGCTGGCTGCTGCTCAGCAAAAACAAACAAACAAACAAACAAACAAACCTATTTGTATCTAGAAAAAGTCTAAAATGGGATCCCAATGTTGCAAACCCTTACAAGACGTTTGAAGGAAAAGCTACAGCTAGAGGAAACACACGATGCTGAAGCTGACGGCGTCGGCTGGTGATTCCAGGCTGACATTTTGGATGCTGGGACGGAGCAGTCGTGAAAAAAAAAAAAAAAAAGACAAGTACAACCGCCCTAATCTGTGTCAGTTTGAGTCCGATCTCAGACCTGCATCCCTTATCTCCAAAGACGTGCAGCTGAGCGTGTTTTGCACGAGTCTGATTGAGAGGTTTGTGACCGTGCAGCACCCATTCAGCGCTTTGACACTGTTAAAAACCAAGAGAAGCCCTGGTGGAGACCAACGTAGGAGCATCAGATCCTTTAGTGTCTAAAACTAAAGCAGGACGACGGCCTCGGTTCGCTCTCACTAGTGGACAGAGGCGCGCCCATCAGTCACCTCGGTGGTTTGACGCTACCTTCACATAGCCAGCCTTCAGGCCTCAGTCTGCTCACACTGGATCGTCTGAATCAGCTGTTCAACTCCTTTTATTCTTCTTTATGCCTCCTTTGTCTTTTGCTGGCTGGAGTTTACTTCTAGTACGCTTTATGCCTGGAGACACATGAGACGGTTGGTACTGCTCTAGTGTCTGCACGCTTAATGGAAATCCAAGTTATGGGAAGTAGAAGCAGTTAGCACCCTTATAAAACTAGTGATCAGTTAATTTGTTTGTTACATCTGTACAAAAACAGAGTTATAGATTAGAGCTGCCATGATGAGTTGGAAATATTCGAGGCTAAAAGTCCATTATACATTTTTAAAAGACACTTTTTTTTTTACTTCAGTTCACTGGAACAGATTCACACCTGAAGTTAAAACACAGGAACTACTCAGCGAGGAGACACTTTGGCTTCTCTCCTGCTCTCTGTGCTCGTTCATATTACATTGTAATACAGCTCAACTCCCAATAAAACTGGTTCTGGTTACGTTTTTTTTGGCTTCCATTTTCAGATAAACAAATATGGAACCGCGACGTGGCTCATTGGGTCCACATGTTAACCAGCAGATACTTGATTTAATGGCCACGATGTCGTCTGACAAACTCATGAGTTAAAAAAGACGCCTGTGCAGTGAACTGAAGCCGTTATCATGATTATCAATTATCAGGTAAAAACAGCCCCACTGCTGACAGACCTTCGGATCGAGCCAGTACAGCTGTTACTGCGACCGATTCGGAGCTAAACCTCTTCTGGATGCAGCTTCATAATCAGTACAGACACAAGAGCAGCATTAACCTCCTCGTGTGACTCCCTCCTAGAACGCAAACAAGCGTTTTTTTTGTTTTTCTTGTTGTTGACTTACAACACAGCTTCTCAACACTCAGTGTATAAACCAAGTGTATAGAAATGAATATACGGTATGAACAGAGCGCTGTTCTGTCACAGGGAGCTCCTTCCAGTTTTATATGTAACGCAAAAATCACCCCAAACTGTCATCAAGTCAGCTGTCAAGCCAACTCAAGCTAAACATTAACGTGTGTCTTGTGTTCCAAACATCCAAGCGGTCCAGATAGAGTTCAAACAGATTATAGATTTGCACTTCCAGCTGCTATGTGAACGTAGTCTTTCTTCCATGCACAGATCTCAACGTGCATCAACACACTTTGGTGAGAGAGTGAAGCTAAAAGAGGCCTCTGATTTAGTGACTTGAAGATTTCGTAGGTCTATGTTGAGATTTGAGGTTAAAAAAAAATAAAAATAAAAAAAATCATCCAGCATTTGAAAAGAGATCAAAAAAAGGAATATACTGTACATATACACAAAAAAAACCTTCTAAATTAGTGTTAAAATAAAAAAAAAAAAAAGAATGTTTTATATTAAACACAATCATGCTGCGACAAAAAAATATATGTATATATATATTTATATATATATATGTGCGGAAGGGAGAGGTAGTATGTTTGGTTAAACGCAGCGCCAAAGCTTAGCGGCACGTCATCTTGTTTTGTAGACAAAGAGAGACAACGAAGACGGGAAACACAGAATGAGGCCGAGATGAGGATCGAGTGAGTAAAGCAGAAAAAAAAACAAAAAAAAAAAACAGAGAGTGACAGTTAACATTTAGAAACATTGGGATCCGCTTGTATACTGACTGGCCTACTGGCAAAAGGACTCGACTACACAACCTTCTTTGTACAACTGGCAACGAGTTTACTGTATATATTTGAAAAAAGAAAACACTGCAAAGGTTGCTGAGGAGAGAGTTGTAGTGTGTCTGTCTGAGTGTATGTGTGCTATGAGTTCATGTTTGGTTCCCTTAAAGGCTATTGTGAAAAGTCATCCTGTAAATTATTGAGGTATCTGTTAGATGTTTCCAGCTGAGTGAGGTTTCTGTAAGTAAGGCTACTGAGGTGGAGCTGCTGACCTGGGTTGAGGGGGAGCTGGGGGGTGATGGGAGGGGAGACTTGAGCGTCGTCCGGGTTCGTCTGAGCGTCGACACGAGCTACAAGGTCAAGCACTGGTGTAAAAACCGCCAGACGGATCCGTCTCGCGGGTGCAACGCTCTCTATGTACAACCCTAAATTTACCGATTAATAATGGCAAATCGAGAAACGATCCCCAGAGGAGGAGAAAAAAAAAAACAAAAAAACAAACATCATCCAACAGCAGCATAGCAGAGTTAAATAAGTGGAACCCTTAAAGCTGAGCAGACTCCCGCCCCGTCACCCCGTCCCCCCACGTTTCCTTTTTTTTGTTTGAAACAGATGATGTAGATGTCGATGTTGAATGTAAAAAAAAGTCTTTCAACAACTATCCTTGCACAAATTGTTTAAAAATCTGAATTTCAAGAGCTGCGATTGCGAAAACACAGAGTAGTGAGAAAGATAATGTCACACTTTGGGTTTAAGAGGCGACATCTCGGTCAGTCACTGCGTGTCACTACGTCTGCCTGTGGCAATTCTCGTTTGAAAAATATTTCTTGTTTTGTTTTTTTTTATCTCCTATGATCTTCTATACAGGTTCTGCACAGTCTTCTGGAGGTCCAATCTAAAGGTTTCCTGGGTCAAACAGGACAGAGGAGTCTGCGTTTGTCATTCTCACACTTAAATGACACGTCCGATCCCACCGCAGCTGTCCTCCCCCGATTCGCAGATTCCCATCAGCCCTTGGTGCACCACAGTTTTACAAAACAGAGCTTGACTGGCTGCTGAGTTAAAGCTATGAAGAGTAGTCCTGCTGTAATTGGCTATTGCAGAAAAAGAGGCGGTTAGATGATCGGATGGTGAGCAAAGAGGCACGCCCATGCTGCTGCTGCAACAGCTTGCCGTTGGCTGGATCCTGTGTCGGTCAGTTGAGGCAGTGTTAGTTTATGATCACTTGAGTCGTGTTTGACATCCTGCTTCTGGAAAAGCAGATGTTTTCGTACGGAGCCGGGGACCGCCTTTCCATCGACGCTGAAGTTATTTCGCTCCGGTGCATTCCTTCCCTCGAGGTTTGCAGCTCCAGATGTAAAAGCGGCTGCTGCGCTGACAAGCCTTCTCTTCCCTCCGTTAGAAAAAAAAAAACGGGGGGAAGAGCTGCCAGTGTCCCCTCCACGTCCAAACAAGAAAGCGAAAAGTTAAAAAGAGAGAGGCCGTTCCGGATGTTCACTCGCTTGACATCGAGGAGCGATGGGGTTTCGTTCGCCTGGAAAAGGCTTCCTTGCTCGTCTTTTGCTTCGTTTAAAACAAACGTTCCAGCGCAGTAAGCCAAGCGCTAGCGAGACAGCAAACTCTGACACACATTACAATTGACAATCTTGAAAAGAAAAACAAAGAGAAAGAAAAAAAAAAAAAATCTGATGTTCAGCAAAATGAAAATATTATGGTTATACTGTATAATTGTCAAAAGCTTATCAATTGACTTTTAGAGAGAGAGAGAGAGAGAGAGAGAGGGAGAGAGAGAGAGAAAAGACATACATCCATAAGCTTGGAATGGACAGACAGGACACTAGCTGGTGGTACTGAGCTGTCGGGTAGCTTTTAAAAAGGCTGCCGGACGTTCACGCTCTGAGTGCGCGTCCTGCGTCAGACTTGGCCAGTTGGAATGCTCAACACAACTACTGCTGGGAATGTTCAGTCATATCAAGTCTTCTGCAGTTACAACACACATCAGAGCTCCACTAACCCTTCGCAACTTATTTGGCCAATTTTCCTGCTCCTGCCTAAATTTTGCTTGAAATTTCAGTCGAAAATGTCCGACCGGTTCCACCTGAACCCGACAGCCTTCCTCGGCGCTCCCGCAAAACAACTCAGCGACTCGACCAGAACTGCCGCCGTTGTCCATTCTAGTTGAATACAACGTAAGAGTTCGTCTCCTAATTTGCATATAGCATTTTTATCTCCAGGTCGTCTTGCCGTCAACAATTGAATTCTCTTAGTATTTTACCTACATTAATCTCTAACTATGTACAGACTTAGCAAGTGGTATTTACATAGTTTGTCCACAAGGGGGTGATACAGGTCTGCATGAGGGCTGAGCATGCACCGTGTCAACAGAAACGTGATATGATATGTAGTGATGTCGAAAATAAACATCCTAAACCTCGCTTATGTGGCTGGTGTTGAAATGATATAAATGTGTGAGAGGAAAAAAAAAAAAAAAAAAGGTATGAGGCTTGATTTTGAGTTTAGTATAAAAAAGGTCTTTCTCATGCGTTGTATCTCTGCCCTGCTGTTGGAGAGCATCTGAGGGATTTCATAGCAAAAACACTACCGGCTGTACATCGTTTCACTTCTGTATATTGCTGCCATTTTGTAGAATATTCACTTTGCCCTGAAAGGAAACCCGAAACTTAAGGCTAATATTAGTCGATGTTTTCACATAGATGAGTCAAAGAATGTTTAACAGCTTTAACAGTGATCTCTAATGGATTGTACAATCATGCAAACCGTCATAAGTCGTTGTTTTTTTTTTTTTGTGTTTTGTTTTTGTTTTTTTAAATTGATCAGATAAGCTTAGGAATGAAAATCTTGTAGTAATCATTATGTCAAAAAGTTTCTCTTTTTAGCTTCCTTATGCTGTTATTAAGTATGATTAGAAATCACAGTGATGCCTAGAGCTTCAAAAACAATCTCCGTCTTATGATTGTAAGCTTACGCCACACACACCATAAACACCAAGTATACAATATCGTCAGACAAACTTTTCCCTGAGTCAACAGCTGGTAGTTGGTTTCAGTCCAACTATCTAGCTCTAACTGTCTTAGCAGCAATCTAACCAGCCAAACAAATATTTTTGGATAATCTCTATCCACAAAACATGAAGTTGTGTTTGCTTATGTCACTCTACAAACTTCACAGGTCCAAAAAATGACAAATTCCAAACAGAGAAGAGCTTCCCTGCACTAGACCCTCAGTCAGAGCCTGTACACGCACCCCCTTGTGGTCCATCAATATTCTCACACACTGTACACATATCGCAAAAATAGAAGGCCTCCTCGTGTGTGTACATTAGTCTTTTGAAAGACGACACATGACACACACAACCGAGGGGCGGCCTTCAAATCCTCTACAGTATACAACACTCAGAACTATTTGCTTCCATGGAAGCAACCATGTTTCACTGTCTATATATGTGTATATATATATACATATACATATACATATATAGATGTGTGTGTGTATATATATATATATATCTCAGCTTATACGTATCAATTATATTTATATAGCATTATACATACATTCTTGTTTGGTGAAATTCCCTTTTGTCTTGTGAACAGGGAATTCCAACGGTAGCACCTCCCTCCATCTATCCAACCCCATTTCCTCATTTCTCCACATCTCACCTCTCTTCCTGCCGTTCCTACGCCGAAACATTTCCACTCAAACATCTTTCTTCACTTCATTAGACTATCTGAGACTCCTTCTTGCACATACACAGATACGCGGGGCTTAGCGGGAAAGCCCACCTGCTCAGCTCCCGTCTCAGCCGAGTATTTTTAAACCAATAAACCAAGCGTTTCTATTAAATTACTGTAAGCTTGCCCATGGCTTCTGACGTGTAATATATTTGGATATCTTTGCTTATGAACTGTAAACCAATGATACTTTATAGTAATATAAACGTAGCCTTTTACCCAGCGTGGGTAGCAGATGTAAATCTGTACATCTTTTCCTGTCTATGATGTCGTGACATGGAGCAATGTTACGAGGTCGATGGTTAAAAGGGATGTGGGGGTCACATCCGTCGAGCTGTCTCCACTGTAAAAAAAATGGCAGGAATCTAGTCGTTTCCAGGGAAAGGTGGTGATGAGATAAAGTGTTTTTTTTTTGTTTTGGAGCTTGTGGAGGCTGTGAGGATCAGGATGTCAGTTGGTTTAGATATCTGCATGATGCAATGACTCGTAATGTATGTTTGTGAATCCAGAGGTCAAAACATAATCTGGTTATCCGAGTGCTGAAGAAACCAACAGCATATTTGGGTGTATTAAATTTGTAAATCCAGACGTCCAGTCATCTAACTCTTGCTGTATGAGGTTAGGAGGAGAAGGAGGAGGAGGAGGAGGAGGAGGAGGAGGAGTATGGACAGGTGACGAAGAGGTGAAGGTTACTGTCTATCTATCTGATTATCCATCTTTCTCCCACGTGTCCAGGATTTAATCAGGGCTGCGGTTTTCTTGGGGGAAGAGGCGGCAAAAGTTGGTTAATCATCCAGTGTGTGATGAGTGTGTGTGTGTGTGTGTGCGCGCATGTGCCTCCTCCTCTGCTATGACACCTCGCTGCCGAACACTTCCAGCACCAGCGGGGTGAGCTGCATGCTGTGCTCGGGCTGGAAGGAGAGCGAGCGGTACTGCTTGGAGTGCTCCTCGTTCAGGCTGCGCAGGTCGGCCAGCTTCTGGATCATCTTGGCGTAGAGGAGGCGTCCGCCCGGGTGGTTCACCCGGATGTAGGCCTGCAGCGCCTCGGACAGGTGGTCTTGGAGCTGCTCGATGCGGGCGTGGTCCTGGACGCCGGGACGATCTGCCGTCGGGGAACCGAGAGCACGGAGCGAGGAGGAGGCCATCATGAGGGAGGTCCCACAGCACAGGAGGAAGACGGGTGGGCAGAGTCAGACGAGCACAGGAGGAAGATGAAAGAAGGCAAAAGTGCAGAGGGTGAGGTCGAGGTGGGAAGGTGGATGGATGGAAAGAGAAAGACAACATCAGTTAGCACACTTCTGACTTCCAAACTGAATTTTGAAGTTAGCAGACTGTGCTCCATGGTGGTTCCTCAAGTGTATTTTAATCATGAAAACAGGTCACATAACATCTACGTTGTTGTCAGAATATGTACTAGTCTCTTTTCTTTTTCTTTTTTTTTAAATTTGGTTGTTATAATGCTCCCAATATGTTCTTAATCTAACATCTAAGTTCCTGCAACCCATGTACTGGCCTGCTCAGTCACATGTACAGACGCTAATGAAGTTATTTGTGGTGTGTAAGAAAGTTTCAGTTTTCGTATGCACTCCCTTTCGCTCCCTCCGTGACCTTGCGGTTATTTTCACTCTACAGCGTCCTCCCTGCAGGTGTTTGCTCTCCCAGTGTTTGTCTTAAACCGAACAGATTAACAAACAGGCCAGATGTCTGCTTGTCCGTTTCAATACCACGATATTAAAAAGGTTTAAAACAGGTTTCTTCTATGTATATATCTAATAGCGACATATGCTGTTACTTCCAGCGCAGAATACTTTGTGTTTTAAGACATCTGGTTAAAGCAAACTGTCTGTTTTTAAGTTTCGCATTGTCAGAACAGACAGATGAGTACGACGGGAAAGTTAAAAATCCAATTATTCTTTGTGTTTCACAGTTTCTGGCTTCGACAAATGATGTGATTTTGGCAATTTTTCAGCATCCCTTTCAGACCTGACGGTGGGTTGAAGGGTTCAGATGATTCACCGGTTCTGACTCGACTATTGTTTTTCATTGTTCTATTTGAAGGCTACATTTCGAAGCGAACTTTTTGTCTATTTGTTGACATTTTGGTGCATCTACATCTCAGAGTCACGCTGCTTTACCTTCAGTCTGCACGGTACAAATGACAACTGTTTGGATTTCTATTGGATTACTTTAGAGACTAATCAAAACTCACAACATTGTCACAATAGAAAGGGATAAAAAAACATAATTCACATGATTTCCAAACAGACTTTTAACTCTAACAACTTCGCCTACAAAGTTCCGTCTCTTTGACACGAAGGGCACAATGTTTCTGAAACCCTACGGGCTCAAGGAAAGCAGAACATCGAGGTGCTTTTCATCTTCTCTTGAAGCGGCCTCTTTAAACGATTCGGTGACCTCAGACTCGGTATGTTCACTCACGCTTTTCAACTTTAGTCGTCATTTACACTTTGCAAACTTTCCATTCCCGCACCGTGACGGACGGGGCGGTTCGTCTTCCAGGAAAAAGCTTTTTCATGTGTTACTAGCAGCGCTGAGCACACACACTGATATTTGGGAGGAATCTGGGTCAGAAAACAAACTTAACGTCGACGCAAACCCTGAGCCGCTCTGCTTTGATCATATGGCGCTGTTTGTAGCCGGTCGGCCCACTCGCAGGCTTTATTCTCAGTCTTTACGGCTCAGCTGGAAACACACCTACACCGCGCAGACGTGCATGAACACACAAACACCAGCAGTACCTGGGGAGAGCAGGCAGATGGCCATGAGCAGCACGTGTTCCTCCTCGTGCAGGTTCAGTTTCTTCAGACCCACTTGGAACTTCACCAGCGGCTCCAACAGCTCCAGAGTGTGACCCGCTGCGGAGGATGACACAAACATACTGTTATTACCGCGGAGCCGGTTACATCTGTTGTGCCTTGTTGTTGACTTATGAATGAAAACACGCATCATGCAGCAGTCGGCCTCGAGAAAGAACCATCGCTCTGCGGGCAGAAAGCATTGCTTCCCCTCCTGCATGTATGAGGTGTTAGTGAAAACACCTAAAGCCTCATGTGTGTATAGAAAAGAAATGCGTGGACCATCCTTGTACATCTTGGCTACATAAACCAGGACAAAAATAATCACAGCTGTGTCATCAGCTCCAACAAAGAGCACTTCTCTAACCTTGAGAATGCATGCACAATTGGGTTTTTATCAATGCACAGTTGATGTTTTGGCCTTGGCAGACACTTCCAGAGCACCGAGTATGCGAGGAAGCAGAGGAGGGAGTTTATCGTGAAGCTGTGCAATCAATGAGCAAGGTCTCTGAGTCTCTGTTGTGGTCACGTGAGTCCAAACAAGGCGCTTTATGTAATGATTACGCAGGTTAAAAAAAAAAAAAAAAACACGTCGCTAATCCTGTGCGATTAGTTGAATGACAACGAGACGCAACCAACCCTTCGTAACGTCGTTGATGCAGTATTTAAAGTCAGGCCCTCCGCAGCTCCAGGACATGTCCTCCAGGCTGAACGACTGGTTTGATCGCAGCATAATGATCTCGATGGCGCTCGACTTCAACAGAGCGATCTGGTCCTCCGCCGTCAGGTCTCTGGAAAACACACACAGTCACAGCATGAGGCACAGTGTAAGGGTGTACAGTCGAGCACATGTGCTGTCAGATTAGGACACTGTCACACATTTAACCTGCTGGGACTTGCAACAAACTTTCCAAGACAGCCAAGATAGTCACATTTCGTTCTCGCCCAGAGGGAGAAACGGTCCTGTTTCCCTGCACCAGTGTGACCTCTGAACTCTGATGTGTGCTCACACCAAAAAAACGTCACATCTGTCGCGACAGGGTCGGCCCGAGACAGATATGGCTCAGAAGGTTAGCACGTATTTGTTTTTGACTCAGAACTATTCCTACGTTTACACTCGTTGTGCATATTGTGCGCTGGAGGAGACGAGGCACGTTCTGCAGCTGCAGTTTAGAAGCTGATACTCATTCTGAACGTTAATGTGTGAACTGGGCGGCAACACACAACCCTCTCTCCAGCAGGTAACCGTGACAAGGATGTCAACAATAGGGAAAAATACACTGACTGACATTCTTCTGGAATCAGGTATATTCAACATCAATAAAAAAAAAAATACAGTAAAATTTGGATTATAGTAAATATATGAAACGTAGAGAAAATGCTGCACTTCCTAATCTTTTGAATTCATAAAGTGAGCAGTGACTTGCAGCTCAAGGTTCCTTATTTTTAAGAAGTCCTGATCAAGACCAATAGACTGACTAACAATAGCTTACCATACATAAGGATGGATGTCCTTAACCTCTTAAGACCTGGCGTCCACATACATGGACATCACATTTTGGGTTATATTACCACAGTAGTTGTTTGTTTTTTGACATTTTTATTATTTTATTATTGATAGGCTCCAGCTCCCCCGCGACCCTAGTGAGGATTAAGTGGTGTATACATAATGGATGGATTATTATTATTTATCTTTGATTGTTTTTTAATTTTTATTTAAAAAATATTTATCTATTTTTAAAAATATACATTTTCATTTTATTTATATTTTTTCTTTTTTATTCTCTTTGCTATTTGATCAGATCAGAATAGCAAAGAGAATAAAAAATGCAAATCAAACTAGAGCTTGGTTCACAAGAGGTTAAGATTGACCACTACAACGCCTACTGGTGCTGCTCATCAATCCACTACTTCTCATCAAGAAAAAAAATTTTAAAACAGAAAAAAAAGCTTCATTTTCTTTCTTTTTCTAAATACCCTTTCCTACATTTTTCACTTTTAAGTTAAAAAAAAAAAGTTAAATGCGGGAGTTGTTCTCTACATTTACAGGTTTACTTCAAAAGACAGAGTTTGCCTGCAGCCCACATATCGCTAAATCTGCTCCGCTCTTGAGCTCTCAGACTGAATTTGTGAACAAGAGAACCATTAACAGAATGACACTCGACGAGCCCGGCGCTTTCACTGGATGTACCGACTGCAAAGACGTCGAGCAGGTTCAGGGGAGCACGTCAGTCACAACTTTCTCATCCCGAGCACATGGCGTCGTTCCACCTTACAACAAGATCAGTTTGGAAACGGCTCTGTCAAACCTGTCAGAAAGTTCTACTCAACCGTATGCTGATAACTGACTGTGTGTGTGTGTGTGTGTGTGTGTGTGTGAGGGAAACTGACAAGCACAGCATGTACAATGAGTGTATTGCAGGACACGGTTACTGTAGCAACAGAGCGACTGTATGAACTACTACTAACCGGCGTGCGTCCACACACACACACATAACTTTAAAAAGACTGTCTTTCAAGGCTTTATCCACTTTTGTGAGTCATTGCTAAATACTGCTCTCTTTTTTTTTCTCTTCATATTGATTTTTAAAAAGTCCCTTCAATGAAAATCAAGCTGTTTTTTTTTTTTTTTTTAGCCTTGTTAACATTTATCTATATGTGATGGATCGATGTTATGAATGAAATAAGCATGACTGTGCATTTCCACCTTTAACTGCAGCGAAGCGATGACGTCGCTGATTTAGACGTCCAGGGTTACTTAGATTACTTTAGAGTACAGTGTTTGAGCAGAATCACAGGTGAGCTACAGTAGAATAGAACAGAACAGAACTTTATTGATCCCTTTGGTAGAAACCTCAGGGTAACTGTGCTCTGAGTCATTCATATTACTCTCAATCTGTTTTTTCAACACAGACTTTGATTTCACTAACTAGGAGTTTCATATTATTGGAAAATTGATCGCTATATCCTGCCCGCCAAGTCAGCACAGAGTGGGCAGCTCGCTAAAGAGCTGATCCTGCCAGTCACTCATGGAAACTCTCGAATCGAGGAGGAGGAGGAGGCGTCGCACGCAGCAGCAGCGAGTGAGACAAAAGCCTTGTGAGGCAGCTGGATTGCTTTCAAATCCCCACAGCCTACACACATTAATACGAAGCTAAGAGCGTGCAGTTTGCAGCTCAGTGTGTCAGATTGCTAAGATGTTTACTATTTGTAGTGATTCAAAAAGATGCGTGCTCTTTCAGTTTGTCATATCAAAGGAATGTTTACAGCTCGAGAGAAAGTCTGAAGAGTCTTTGAAAGAAAAGAAATTAAAACACCGTATCTAGCATTCAGCTCCAATGTCAAACATTTTTCATTCTGTCATACTAGTTTGCTTTTTGTTTCCCAATGTGACTAATCTATTTGCCCACATTTGTGTGGTATAGCTCCACAAAAAAATGTTTAAAACACTGCTGTGATTTATAAAGCTTAACTCTAATGGTTCAGACTAAAGCAGATAGCTTCAGGTGGTGGTGACGCAAAACGAGTTCACGTTTTACTGCTTTGTAATTACTGCTGTAAAGAAATAATTCACATTTTGCAAGTGAAACATCATAAAAATTAATGCATCAATAAAAAAGAAAGCAGCAACACTGGGATCTAAGATTGTTCCCTTTAAATGCAGTGTGTTCTCTGGACATCTTTACTGTAAATAGTGTTTACTGTCGATGCAAAATACATTCTTTTGATCCCGTAGTTCATAAAATTGTGCTTTAAAGTCACAACAATTGCACCGTCATTGAATATTAGCTGATAAAAAACAACATTTGATGGAATTAACGTGAATTCGAGTATCAGCCACATCCGCCTCCAGAGCTCCGGGTTGTCCTATTTCATGTGGTATTTTTCAATGCAAACAAAACAAATATTGAAGTACACGCGTCACACAGTGCAGACAAGTCGGCAGAAAGAATAAATGCATATAAACATAAAGCTATCTGCGCACACAATTACCGCTCTGCTTCCGTTCCTGTTTCATATCTTGTAAACACACACGGATGCATTATGTATACCCATGTGGCAGATATGTCATCTCCATTCTTTTGTTACACAGCCTCTGTACGTGCATACATTTAGAAACTTATCTCCCGGCTCAGCGTGCATTTATAAAGCCACAGCCTGTTCCACTGTATTCTTGGAAGAGCTTGTTTGTTTGGGAGTGATAATAGCAATCTCGCCTTACCCAGTAATGTCCCGCATACATGTGGGCAGCAAATCAATGTGCTCGGCGTGTAGGTGGAGAGCTGCTTCCGTCTGCTAGCATCCGCGGACGTACGAGCTTCTAGTCGGGTTAACAGTCGATAGCTGCACCGGTAATAACGTTTCATTGTCATCACTGCTTCTGTAATGTTTATAGCACCAGAGGATGCTTCTGATGTGTTTCTGCCACCCAGTCGGCTCAAGCAGTCTCTGATTTATCTCTCACAAAAGACCAATAAAACTGTTATTTTTGTCATTGATTAATCCGTCAGTTGCTTTCATGTTTAACTGATCAATCCTTTGGTCTACAAAATTGTGAAAACGTAGATTTTTTTCCCAGCCAAAGAGACAGAGACAAGCCGTGAGCGATAAATGTTTAGGCATTTTTGCTCGAGCGATTGCTTAAATAATTAAAATTACCATTAAAATAGCTGCTGATTTATATTTTATGTGCATCGACTGTTTCAGCTTGAACCCAGCAGATTTAAAACGCAATCCATCTTTTGAAAAATATGTAGAAAATTACAGAAACAGACAGATTTGTCAATTTATTTTTAATTTTCCAAGGGTTGTCATCTATTTTATGGACCTTCACTGGAAAAATCCAGCTGTTATTTTAAAAATGGTCAAAAAAAAGACATCTGTAATAACCTGATTCTGTAAAAAGCAACCACATGTTTGACATGGCTGTTACCAACAGACAAAAATTAAGGGACTTTAAAGATAAATTGAGCTGAACTGCAGGAAGTGTTTTTACAGAGAAAGTATGAAAACAACTGAAAAATTAAACTAGTTAAATAAAGAAGTCGCCCTTTGTTGCTCAGTATTGGTACCACCTGGGTTTTTTGTAATTTTTGTAAAATAAATATTCCAAGAAATTCACCTTCTATTTTTATTATTAAAGGCGACTTTGTTATAAATTTTGAATTCTCTCTCCTGTAGCCATGGTTCTACTGTTTCCGTAGAGGTGCAGGATATTACATCGCAGTAAAAAATAAAAATAAAAAATGAGCCCACGATAAATAAAAAGGTGCAAAAGAAGTTAAATGAACCCAATCAAATTGGATTCAACTTCCATTAAAGGTCATGAGATGTGAGCTCATGAGGTTTATATTGTTCCTGTAAAACAGGAATCATGTTACTAGTGAGCAATATGAGTTAGATAACAGTTCTGATTTATAAACAACACTGCACGTACACGTCAATGAAACTAAAATACTGCAATGCATCTCATTGGTACCTAAAGCCGGGGATCATCTTGGCAAACCCGATGACCTTCTGGATGCTGTAGGAGACCAGGTCAGCCAAGTGGGGCAGCATGGAGAGCTTGGTGTCCTCCTCGCTGGAGTCCGGACTGCTAGCACCATCCTGGTACATCATTAACAGGTTGCTGAAGTTCATTTTCGTGTCCACCGACTCTGTTGGAGGAGCGAATCAGGGAGGGGGGATAAGAAGAGGGCAGAGGAAGAGGTGAGAGGCATGGCAAGGACGTGGTAGCAAAGAGGCATCGAGAGGTTAAACAAGATGAAGCAGAAGTTCACAGTGAAAAGACAAAATAAAAAACAAGTATTGAATATTTACTGCAGCTTGCATAGAAGACAATTCCACTGAGAATTTAATAAAGCACTGAAGAAGCTATACTTGTGATATTAAAAAGAGCAATACAAAAACAGAATCTGCGTTAAAACCATACACAAATCAAATTAAATCTGTATAAATATTCATAACACGAAAGAATAAATCAGTTCTTTTAAAAAACAGCAGATGTGCACTAACAAAATTTAAAGAAAAAAAACTCCTTTTTTTGGTGAGCAGGGACAAGGACACAACAGCTGCTGTAAAAAAATACACAAACGTTCAACACAATTTCAAACAGTGAACTTTAGGGCATTAGCTTAACAGCTACTAACACATGTTTGAGGGTGTTTGTTTCTCAACCGAACCCGGCTGAGCAAAAAGAGTCGTGCAGATGTTGAAATTAAAAAAAACACTAAAATACCATATGAAAAAGCGGAGGAAGAGTAACTGCTGATTTTTATGTTATTTTTCAAATCAATAGCTCTCTTTGCAGCTGTATCCTTGGTAAAGATAACCCTGAAAGATGAAAGTAAACACGGACGGGAGAATAAAAGGCTCTCTATTCGTCTCACCAGGTGAGTGGTTGAATGAGTCAGAGGAGGCATCAGACAGAGAGTGAAGAGAGGCCGCTCTGCTGGCACTGCGTGTGACTGGACCTTCACGGACTGGAGGCTGCAAAAAGAAACACAAATATTAATATCCTTATGACGCAGCGGGGGGCGCCGCCGGGCTCCTCCTCCTGAGTCCCACCTGGAGTTAAGAATCAAGCGACGCACAAGCCCAAGTAATCCCCACAGGTCTAACTCGGTAAGCCTGCTTCAGATGCTAGATTTAAGAACCTAAGTGTGTGTAAGAATATGAAATTTACACAGAACAGAGTCGCGTGTGACTGTTCGGTGTGTCGCGGTGAAAAGATGTGAATTTAGCAGCAGGTTTGAATTAGACTGAAGCTCAGCAGGCATCGGTTCACTTTTGTGATCCCAAAGTGTGTTGGCTTATTCTTTTGTTTAGTTTAAGCGTTCTGGAAAAAGCTGCAACACAGACGTGCCTTTTATTAAAATAAAACTTCTTATCCGGTATGTGCGCCCATTTTATCTATCTGAAACCTCCTCTACAAAGCACACCTTAGCTGCTGCTATCCTTAGAATTACATGATTACGAGGTGTGTCAGAAGAGTTTCAGGACTGCACAGCCTTTATCCACCTACAAAACACTGCCCACCTCCGTCCATCCCTCCACTCTTCAGCTGCAGAAACCTTCATCCACGCTTTCATCACATCCAGACTTGACTTCTTTACGGTCCATCCATCCAAACCCCCTCAAGAAACTTTAGCACATCCAGAATTCCGCTTCCCACCTGCTCACCTGCTCACCCACTCCTGGGATCACATTACCCTCATCCTTCAGAAGGACAAAGGACACTCTTTTGAAGACAATGATGTACAGATTTTGGCCAGGGAGGACAGATGGTTTGAGAGAGGGGTGAAAGAAGCCGTCTATATGTCAAACTGGAAAGACCATCCCTCACCAGAGGTGGAGGTCTGAGGCATCACCTCTCACCTGTTTACAATTCAGTCCTAAGATCTCTCCTCAGGAAGATGAAACCACATTCACACCTATAGCCACAAAACACCCTAATGACCCCCTTTGTGGCAGGGGGAGCGCTAACGACTCACATAATGAGGGGGAGGAGCAACAAACCCCCTATTGAAACTGAAACTCAGTGCTAATGGATCCTGAAGGATTAAAGCATGTGGAACTCCCAACTAGTCAGTCAGAACTGATGAAGCCTCTTGGATGAGAGGTGGTCCAGTTGTTACGATTAAACTACGAGAATAACTCTGACCTGGATGACTGAGAATCTTCATAGTCATTACCCCCATCCTTCAGAACCTCCACTGGCTCCCAGTCCTCCAGTGAATCCACTTCAAAATCCTCCCGATCACCTACAAAGCTCTCCATAACCTGGATCCCTCATACCTGACTGAACTCCTCCACTGGCATATTCCCACCCGCACCTTCCAATAAGCGGACGCTAGCCTTCTGTCCACCCCCATCCAGACCAAACACTGGACCTGGGCTTTATCTATTGCCACTCCGACCCTCTAGAACTCGGTCCCCTAAAACATCAGAGAATCCTCCTCACTCTCCATATTCAATACATCTACAAAGACATATGTAGACATGAACACATAACACTGCCTACAAATCATAATTCTCCTTGTTCTTTATGCTCTGGTTTTATTTATTTACTTATTTGTTTGTTTTGTTGTTACCTTTTTGTCTTTGACTATCTTGAAAAGCACTATATAATATTATGTATTATTGTTGTATTTCAAATCCAAACTCCAAGTTTTCCCTTCCAAGTAATCCCCCTGGAGTCTAACACACTTCTCCAGCCTTCTCTCACGCCTCCATGCACTCCTGGAAAGATTCTTCCGGGATCCTCCGCATCTCCATCATCACAGCCATCTTGATGTCGTCCACGTCTTCAACCCTTGATGACCCTCTTGAACTTGGGGAAGAGGAAACAACCCCACGGAGCCAGGTGGGGTGAGTAGGGAGGTTGCTCCAGCACAGTGATGTTCTTCTCAGCCAGGAATTGTTGGATGCTCAGGGCGTTGTGAGCAGGTTGTCATGGTGAAGCAGCCACAACTTGTCCTGCCACAGCTCTCGCCTCTTCTCTGAACGAAGCAAACGCTGCAGGATCTCTTTGTAGACATGCTGGTTGATCATCTAAAGGGGAAAACTGGTGGTTTGCAGTTTGGGTTTGAAATATATCTTTTGTGACACCAGTCCTGGAACTTTCTGACACACCTCGTATTTCACGTCGTACGGCCGACATTCACTTCAATGTCAAACCCACAAATCAGCATCTGGAAAACTGCGATATTTACAACCCAACTGGCGTGTGGTCGTGGCCGTCCCTGCGCAGGAATCACACTTAACACAAATAAATCACGAGACTTTTTCAGCCAGTGTGTGCATTCTCCATCCCATTTACCCGATTGTTGTGGTCCACGGAGAAGAGCACCGCTCTGAAAGGATCGAGTGAACGACACGGAGGAAGAAAATACGGGTGAATAAACACCTTGGTGACTCGTGTTCCTGGAACAGTCATTTCACTCTGTGTGCTGGAAAACCACCTATTAATAAATGCTGCTGTCACTGCCACCTGCCACGCATGTGTGTGATCTTAAAGACCCCCCATCCAATGAAAATCAGGCTTTTTACCTCGTTAGTGTGCCCACATGGTTGTTTATTTAATGCTAGAAGACACATAACCAGATTTCTATTCAACTTAAGGCTACTTCGTTATGGACCAACGTTTCATTCAGAGCTAAAACTTGTGCGTTGATAAAAATACTCAAAAAAAACATTCAAAAGATCATTTAATTGCTATTTTATGACCACGATTTATCATTTTTGTTTCCTCTTTGTTTCCTTGTTTATTTCTTGTGAAGTTTTGTTTATAATTTGCTGACATTTTATCATTATTTAGGTTGGAGGCGTTAGATAAGCCGAGCCAGGCTTTCTGCCTCTCCCTGCACAATGCTCTTTTTATCTGTTAGTTGTTTTGTCTTTGTTAGTGCCACAGCTGAACATTTCCACCTTGCAGATCATGATGACAGTCTCAAAAATGCAGATTTGACAGCCGGGGTTTCACACACAACAATCCTGTCAATTTGCAGAACACAACTCTGTGCATGATTATTCTCTCTTTCTTATTCTAACTTATAATCCTACCATAGCACAACTTGCCGACGTGTATTGTAGCGCAACATTACAGTGAGCAGGAAGAGCTGGTGTGCTCGAACTGTACTGAGTAGCGGAAATGACCAGGATGCTGTATCTGCACATGCTAACTGGAGGGTGTTGAGTTACATCTAAGTCATTGTCAGACATAAAGGGAGCATTTTAATGGAAATAAAACTTTTGAAGATATAACTTTGGGGGTTTGTCAAGACCAGAGAAAAGTCTCTGAGTTCAGTTGCTTATTTTTTTTTAGGTAATTTCACTTACAAGTTCTGATTCGTGTGTGTATACACAGCGCCCTCCATAATTATTGGCAGTTAAGATGTGTTAAAAGCCTTAAAATAAATTCCATTTTTATTGCAGAAGCATCCTCTCACACTGAAAATTGTAGAGAAATATAACCTTCAACTCAACTCAAATGAATTGTTGGCAAAAGGGGGTTATACAAACTATTAACATCAAGGGTGCTGATAATTGTGGCACACATGATTTGATGTAAAAGAATTATTTTTTAATGTGGGATTTTTTTCACACTGAATAAACGCACTTGAATTAAAGGTTGATTTTTCCTCTTTTTTTTCATTGTCGTTCTATATTATTTAGAAAAAAACTGAATGTACTAGAAGCTAAAGAACACATCTTAACCAGGCGTGCCAATAATTATGGAGGGCGCTGTCGTTGGCAGAAACTTGAGTAAACCGGATGACAAAATGAATTTTTCGCAAACTGTTGGAGCAAAATGTCGATGTGGTCCATCTCAAACACTGATTCTACAGGTTTATACTCGGCTCACTGCGCCTCACACACACACATGTAAAGTCTGCATTGTTGTGGTAAACCAAAGCAGATGGCATCCATATTCTACCACTCTTTTGTTTTTTTTCCTTTTGAACATCATTTTTTCAGCTTCCATGGAATTCTGTGGTGGAAGGCTGCTAATTTAAAGAAGCATCAGGCCATGCTCCTCTCTCTTCTGCCACAACGTCCTGCTCCACCCGTATTCAACTAACTGATAACGTGAGTGTGGTTTGGGTGCAAAGGAAGTGACCGGACTCACCCTGAAGCGTGAGAAGTCCGCATAGGAGGCATCGTAGGTCTTGTGGTGAGCTTCCACCAGGCAGGAGATGATGCGAGCCTGCTCCTCGTTCAGCCGTGGCCTCATCGCCTCCCGGGCGGCCTCCTCCTCTTTCCTCTTCAGTATCATCTCTTTTTTCCTTTGGACCTCCTCGTCTGTCAGTATGACTGCAGGAAGACATAATAAAACACCTCACAGTTAAACGACGACACACACGTTTACAAAGACTGATGTCAAAGAAAAAAATGAGCACTGAAGTGAATGTAAACTGTTCCTACTGCATACATTAAATTCACATTATTTCAGTGCTTGCAACACGTTCGGTATTTAATCAAGCAGTAACTCTGTTGTGATTCCCCGCATCACTCACAGCGTCTACTTTAGTAAAAATTAACACATGCATTCACTTTCACAGCGTAAACCTGTAAAAAAAAAACACACCCTCTTCACACAATTGGTGTTAGAGTGTCGCAATAACAAATACAGGTTCCTGGATGTTTGTATTTATGTGGATATCAATAAATACCACCCAAATATGAAATTACAGTCAAATTTATTCTTCCATTAAAGAAAAGGTAAAATTCACAAAAGTCACTCAAATAACTAGAAACTGAAAAAAGTAATAATAAATAAAAAAATTGATAAATTATAATTTAGTGAAATAAGACATTGCTTTTGGATTTTGGTTAAAAAGAAAAGTTAAAAAAAAACCAAAACTGTTCCAGTCAAATTAGAGCACCTTGCTGATGAGCAGTGAAATCCAAACACCTGTCAACAGGTGCAGAAATCTGACTGAGAGTTAAAGAAAACACCTGATGATGGCAGTGATTGACTCAAAGGGTTGTTCAACTAAATATTAGTTTACGGGTCCTATCATGCTTGTTTTTGTTTTGTTTGTTTGTTTGTTTGCTTGTTTTTAACATATTTCTGTTGAACCACAATTCAAAAGCAATGTCATGATTTCCATATTTTTTTTATTTATTATTGCTTTTGACAATTTCAACTTATTTCAGCTGTTTTTTTCCTTCTTTAACGGGAGGGTATGAATACGTTTGAGGACGACTGTAAATACTATTATAGAATTAAAAATCGAAGCTGTTTTTGCACAGTCTATGTGTAACATAATAATAGATTTTATTTATAAAGCACTTTTTATTTAAAAGAAATCTCAAAGTGCTTCCATCGCGTTACAGTTCATCGAGCTGTCCTCTGTTCAGGGCATCAGTCTTATTGTGGGTTTTCCCCATTTTAATTAAATCAAGCTTTCGGGAATAATTGATTTCAGACTTTTCTCTTAATTATGGTTTGCACAATGAGTTTCAAACAGAAGGAAAAATGACGTAATGAGTCTTAGTGGAAGCAAAGCAGTCCTCGTGTTTTACTCTAATAAGAATTTCGATGAAGCAACATTACACACAGTCTTCGCCAAACATCTTAAGAGGGATATTCCAAAAACGTGACCTTGATAGGCTACAATTACAGAAATAATGACCACCTTTAGGATGGGTTGTGGCTTTAAAAGCCAGATTAAAAGATTAAAAACAGTCAGCGGTAAAACCAGCTGAGGGGGATGTAATGTAAGCTCCAAATATTTCCATCCTGGGTTACATGAACTATACATCTTCTCGAGCTGGCACGCAGAAAAGGCCTGTCATGTCTGCTGCCTTTTTTTTATGGCTGATGCAGCGGGTGTTGGATATTTAAGTGCCTTTTGCCTTATTCATGCTGCAGGAGTAGAGACTGCGGGCGGAGCGGCACAGTGGTGCAGAATGGATTAGACATACTGTTTATAGTGACTCTTTGAGATTTGACTAGATGAGAGAGTGTTTTGGGAATCCCTGGGTTTGCACGCGACTTCCACGTCTTAGAGCGTTGCATTCCTTTATAATCTTATATTCTCGGCAGTGAGGGTAATCTCTTTTGGGTTTTAAACACGATGCACAAGATGCAAGGTGTTTTTATATCTTTGTTTTTTAACTAAGAGGTAAAATGTTTATCCCCTCTGACATATTAAAAACATATAAAATGCCAGAAATGGAACAAAAATCTGAATAACCTCAACATTTTGTTGGGTGGCCAACCACCATCTTCTCATTGTAAATACTTAACTGATCAGTAAATGAAGGACAGATGGAGTTATAGTCAACACCTTCCACTGCAGTGCTGCTGAACATTGATTACAAAGCAGCCCGTGGTATCTCTCACCTTGGTGTGAGTGGCCTTGTTCAAGCTACCGATGTCACCATGTTTGACTCAGTTCGGTATGAGTAACACACATAACTCCTGCACTGCTTTTTTTTTTTTCTTTTAAAGACGCCTCTCAGCAGCAGACTGTAGGAGCAACATCTGGATGTGGCCCCTGATGGTGTGAAACAGGAAATCTTGGATTACAAGCTGTGCCTGAAGAGATTTTATAAAGTGGAAAACAGGCAGCTCGAATGTTTTGAGATGTAGCCGGTCTGTAACGAGGTGGTCGGAGAAAAAAAAAAAAAAAAAGTCCTTCTGTGTTGTATGTCTTTGTAGAGAAATCTGTTAAAAAAGGAGGCAATTTATGACCAACTCTTTATCGCTGATTTCATTCAGTCGGAAAATTAAACAAGTCGCAGCAAGTGTCTCGCACAGAAGGCAGATGGGGCCCCATGAAACTGCTTTAAGCATTTCATCGTTTTTTCACCCAAAACAGCCTTAATGTCAAATATGCACCTGTGAATACTGATTACAAAAGAGCAACCTGACCCACTTAGACGGTACGAACACACGTAACGACCATCCATTAAACCTGAACACACTGTTTTCAGGTATGTGTGCGTCGAATACATCTTCCAGAACACGATGTTTCTTTTGAGGCATGAAGAAGAAGCAAATGTGCTGCTGAAAATACGAACATGCTGCTAATTTAACCGGCACATAGAGGAAACTGTACAGAAATATCAGACCTAACAACACATAAAGTGAAGAGTAAAGTCTTTTTACAACTATTTTCTTAACCGATGGTTGGCTATGTTTTCAGTCAATAACTGATTAATCGTTGCCATGTTTAAGTGGTTGTCCATATGCTGATACAAGCACGCAAACGCCTCATGTCTGCTGCGTTATCAGTTTACCTGCGTTAGCTACACATCTACAGAGTTACCGTTTCCGTTAGCGATGGTTTGTTTACTCAACGGGAAGCCATTAATCGCTACCGAAGTCTTTCTCATGGTTACCAGCTAAACTCCCATAACGCTCTACCACACACAGAAATACAGAAAACCACCTTACCCATCCATAAACATTAAAAATTAAACATAGTTAAAATAACAATAGCAAATCTTTTAAGAATTTGGGTTCAAACATTAACATTTCCAACAATCCTCAAGCGACCAACTCCTCGGGTCACTAGAGGATTAAACACAGCAAACGAGCTGCAAACTTCCAACTTTCATAACCGGTAGTTGGCTACGTTTCCAATCAACAACCGATTAATCGTCGCCATGTGTAGGTGTTTTTCCATATGCCGATACAAGCCCGGGGCGTTTAAACGCCTCATGTCTGCTGCGTCATCAGTTTGCCTGCATTAGCTAAACATCTACAGAGTTACCGTTTCCGTAAGCGTTGGTTTGTTTACTCAAAAGGAAGCCGTTAATCGCTACCGAAGTCTCCGTCATGGTTCCCTGTTGCTAGCTAAACCCCGATAATGCTTTCTGAAAACCACCTTACCCATCCGTAAAAGTCACAAATTAAACACGACATAATTGAAATGAAAATAACAAATCATTTAACAGTTTGGGTTTAAACGCTGACATTCCCAAGAATTTTCAAGCGACCAACTCCTCGGGTCACTAGAGTATTAAACACTGCAAACGAGCCGCAGACTTCAATAACAAATAACCTGTAACATTAATAATCTCTCCTCCACCTGATAATGCATCTACAGAGAATACATTTTCTGGCATGCATGACCTTCATCGTCTGCCTTGTTGGTTAACTCGTTTTAATTTGTAAAATTCAACTGTTAATCATTACCTTCCCTACCACTGAACCAAAACAGAGCATAAAATTTGCCAAATTTCATATTTTAACCAACCATATGTGCCTTTTTGTCTGCAATGATAGCACAAAGAAAACACAGAGGAAGAAGAAACACTGAGTCTGTGGGTCACTTTAGTCGCCACCGGAGTGATACACTGACCGCTGAAAGTCTTTGGCCATCTCATCCCCCCTTTGACTCTTTGCCACAGTAGAAGATTACCCATTAAGTGCTCGACGGTGCACAAAGACAGAGAGACAGCATGACAGCCAGACGGACGCAACTGCCAAGGAAGGACGGCTACAGTGCAGGTCCGGAGTAATGAGGCCGCAAAAATACGGCGAAAGTCTGACAGTCTGGCAGCTGTATGGAAACTCACTCACTGTTTAACCCTTATGGACAATCAGTTTGGCTTTCAGGGTCACAATTAGAATAGTTTTATCGTCGCCATGCATACGTTTCCATACACACAAGGAAATTTCAGTCAGAAGTCTTTCAGCAAGAGAAAAATGGCATAAATAAAGACTATAGTATAAACACGAATAAAGTATAAACAGAAATAGTAATATAAACATTCTGAAAAGAAAAATAGATAATCATTCATCAAATAATCCCATTTTTTAGGTATACAGAAAAGGCTTTTTTTTAAAGCACCATGTTCAGTTTAGCTGCAGGATAAAATCTCCTGACACTATTTTCTTCATGTTACAACATAATAAATGTAAATCAGCAGTGGTTTAACTCTTGTGATGTCTTAATCTGTTAACACACATTAATAATCAGTGGCCCACGACTGAAACGCTGTCAACCTGTAGCTTTTACAATGGTAAGAACACATATGAGTCAAAGGTTATAGTATTTATAGTAGAGTACGTATAAGTAGACTATTAGTGATATGTTGGTTTCTTGCATTATGGAAAAACAATGTTCACCTGAGGACTTGAATGACTATTTGGAAGGTAGATTCTGAAGGGGAGCACATCTGCATAGAAAACCAACAATTATTTTTATTATTTATATTTATATAAAAGGTCCTTTTGAACCTAACGCTGACAGCCGCCTCCGGAATAGATTTTTGTTTTGAGACGGTCAGACAAATCAGTCGTGTTGACTCGTGCGGTAGCAGCAACGGCGAGACGCTGCCAACGGAGTACCTGT